GCTCTATCTGTCAGCCACTGTTCAATCCACCCCACTGTCCATTCATCTAACCCACACTTCCTAAGCTTGCCTGTGAAGATGATGTGGGAGACTGTCAAAAGCCTCGCTGAAGTCAAGGTAGACAACATCCACTGCCCTCCCCTCATCCACCCATCCAGTCACGCCATCGTAGAAGGCTATCAGATTAGTCAGACGTGACTTCCCCTTGGTGAATCCACGTTGACTACTTCCGATAACCTTCTTTTCCTCCAGATGCTTGGAGATGACGCCCAGAATGAGCTGTTCCATCATCTTTCCAGGGATTGAGGTGAGGCTGACCGGCCTGTAGTTTCCCAGGTCATCCTTCTTGCCCTTTTTGAAGACTGGAGTGACATTGGCTTTCCTCCAGTCCTCAGGCACCTCAACTGTTCTACAGGACCTATCAAAGATGATGGAAAGCAGACCAGCAATGACTTCCACCAGCTTCCTCAGCACTCGCGGGTGCATCCCATCAGGCCCCATGGACATCCAGTTTCCTTACAATACGGAGTAACTGGTCTTACTTTTAAAAATAGAGTTTGCAAACTGATTCAGAGAGTGTTTGCGTCTCTCTGGTGTATAGTTGTTCACGTATCTCAGAAATATACCCGAGATACATTCAAGTTCTCAACACCAAGGGCCTCCTCACAGACCTCCAGGGCACGGCCTGACCCCGAGTCCCTCTGCCTACAGCTGCGTAATGGGGTGCTTTCTTTCGAGATCAGGCTTGTTTGGGACAGCTTTCCTTCCCCCACGTACACACAGGGACACACACATTTAGACCAGTTGATCTGAATCAGTTTTTGCAAACTATTTTAATTAAAATATTAACTTGTTGGAATAGTCCAGGTCTGCACATGATATACATGTAAAAATGGTTACTACACAACTCTTTTTGAATACAAAAAAGCCAATATGGGATTAGCCATCATTTGGATTCAGCATTCAGTCATGCTTGACATTACACAAAGAGATGGGTTGAGAGAATTCTGTTGAACTAGCTCAATTTAAGCCAGAGACTTTGACCAAATTCAAACCATAACAGAAGCAAAAGAATGAACCCACTGAACTTGCAGGTATAGCCTGTCCCCGCGGTCACTGCTGCTGTTTGTGATAGAGGAGCTGAACTTCAAAACGCTGTGTTAGCACCATGCTCTGGGCACACCCTCCACGCTCACATGGTAAATCCCAATACAATTTTGGCCTTTCATTTCATTTTTGTCTTTCTTTCTAACCCCAGGAAAATACAGGTACCTTTCCTAAATCGCTTTCGCTTCATTTCAACGACACTGCAATGCAAAAGAATGACCCCAAAACATCCAATTCCACATAAAAACATAGCAGAGGAAAGGACAGGACAATCCACGGTCACCACTTGCCCCAGGGGGCAATCAGAGTCACCTCCATGGGACCCACCGCCTCATCCCAGGCTTCTGGTCAACAGTTAGTACTACAAAGCTCCTTACTAAGGGGCTGCTCAAACGTATTTTGGTAGAGTTTCCATTTCGATTAGAGTGATATGCTACGTCAAGATCCTAGAAATCCCAGTAGGATTCACCGGACACTGGCAGAGAGTTAAGGATTGGAAGTGGATGTTAATTTAGCTAACGAAAGAACGTCGCCCTGTTGAGAGTACTGAACAGCAGCGAGACACTAGAGTATTTACTATATAAATATGTCACATGGACAAACACATTCGGAAAACCTTGCTTTTGAGCCCTATAAACATATTAAAGGCAAATCCTAGAGTTAGCAGCTAGTGTTTTCTTCAAGATGATTAGTGTGCAAGGAAAAACATTTACAAAGAACCCTGGCTGGTCAGTCCCCAAGACGGAAATCTTTGCCTCAAGCCAAACTTCATCCACCTGCTCTTCCCCCACCCCCCAGCGCTGGCTGACCCAGACCGCCCTGGCACTGGCACGAGAACATGGGGGCACCTCCAGTTCCCAGCACTAAGGGATGACACGATGCCACAAAGTCACTCGGTTAATGCGACTCCCTGACCCCTTTAACGCCGTATGGATTTCACAACCTCCTTTGCTTCCTTTCAGTAGTACAGCAGCTCCAACGAGCCTCTGGAAGTAGTGCCTTCTCGCATGGTGTGATATGCTGCCAAGATATCACAGCACCTCAAGGGACTGTAAAAGTTGTGAAGTATTGCAGCAACGAAAATAACAAAAAGGAGCCTCACATGCAGCAAGATCTACAGTGGTGGTGTGGGTTAGTCATCAGCTGG